TTGTGTTGGATGTTCTGTGCATTACCAACGTGTCCTGCATGGAGCGCAGCTCCCGGAGGTTCCTGCATTTGCATCTCTAGCAAGCCGCCGTATGGTTGCATGTTGTGTTGGATGTTCTGTGCATTACCAACGTGACTTGCATGGAGCGCAGCTCCTCGAGGTCCCTGCATACCCAGCTGTTGGAAGTTATGGCATTGTTCGAAGTTTCCTATGGCGCTTGAGCCATATTCGGCATTCTCTGGCCGGACTTGGTTCCCCTGCTGAATCGGCATTGCAGCCATGAACGGAGGATTCTCAAATCCCAGGTCGACAGGCCATTCCGTCGCACCATCTGACTCGGATTCAGAGATGTCGTTGTCTGGATTATGTTGGAGACCTAAGTTGTCATTGGCCCCAAGTCCCTGTTGCTCAGCTAAAGCCATCCTATTGTCTTCTGGTACGACAGTTGCTTGCTGGTGGGTCTGAGTGTTTGCATTTTCTAAGCCGGCCTGTACCTGGCTGTCATCGAATTCGGCCATTAGGTGGTCCAGTTCAGGGTTGGCTGGCCATTCTTCGTCTTGGAGAAGCTCATTGTTGGTAGGTTGCGGGTTATCCAAGACTGTCGTGAGTTGTAGCCAGGTGTCGCGGTCAACCACTTGTTCTCCTGCCCTGTTCGGTGGACCTTGTTGGCCTGATGGATCCATTTGGCTTTGTCGGCTCCAATCCTGTGACGAGGAGGGTCAGATCAAAGATCGGTTGTACCTAGAATCACTGGTATCGGCAAACCCTTTGTCGTGACTTGCTAAAGCCTCGTGAGCATAGTTGATCATGGCTGTCCAAGCAAGATCGACTTACCGAGAAATATCTGCACAGATGTCTCTGCCGATAACAGTTCCCTATGTCGCCCCGACAGTTCAGTGCTAGGATCTTTATGAGCGCGATATCTTTGTGAGCGCGGTAGATCGGTCTCATTCAAGGGGTCATGGATCTACCGGTCGAAGTGTGCCGATATCACCTGTTCTTTGGGACCTTCTGAGTTCCTGTGTGAGTCCTCTGCCTCCCAGCCCTGAGAGAATGCCAGATCGGTCTTGTTGAGACGAAGTGGATTTGCTCAAGAAAGATCAAAGCACATAACTCTGAGTCGACACACTCTTGGGTGTTCTTCTTGAAAGCTCAAGGACTGTTAATGATTGTTGGTCGTGAAAAAATATTCTTCAAGAGCTTGAAGTTGTCGTTGTGGTTGTTGAAGAGTTGGTTAGGTGGAAGAGTCGTGATGAGGTGGGTGATGGAAAGAGTGAGAGGATCTCAAGTCTAGAGAATATTTAAGGGAGGGTGCAACGGCTTCACGATCTCGGAAACACCTACGGCTTGCTCGCGCGCAGCTGAAGTGTCAAGACACTATTGTGGTCGTTGACAATGGCATGTGGTTCTGGATATGAATGGTTAAGGAAGAATATCACCTGGTCACGAATCGATATCAAAAGCTATTCTACCAACCGAACAGTATCACTCGGGTCGAGAGTGATACAGTCGTTCATGTGCTCGAGAAAACCAACGTTTGAAGGCATTGTGGCTACAACAAGATCATGGATCTATGTTCGGTAAGAAGGACCACTATACAGCCCACCATTGAGGTGTTCAACTCGGCCTTGTCCCCTTTCTGAATCTAGCCAGCGCTGCGTTCATGAATTCAATTACCAGCTCATTGAAACAGCCTTGTACACCTACAATAGCCCCTTCAGTGGGCTTAGCGCAGGTATTGTTCCCATGGACGAGGTTCAAACAGACCATTGTTCCTATGTCACAGGGCATCTGTGCTGCTTGAAGTCCACAAGGCTGCGTTTGGCAGGGGTATGAATCAGTCTTGGCAGCAGTGATACTCCACAATCGACGAACAAGGCTATTGATCTCCTCGAACAATCATTGGCTAGCTTGACACCGGAGATGCCGGCTATTGTGTTGGATGGTGACTGGTCTTCACTGACAAAAGTACAATCGGTTCCAGTGACATTAGCACACTGTGGTGCAGTTTCACTAGCCGTGGCACGTGAGCATCAGATGATGCAACAGGAGATAGATCGGTTGGGCACACTGTCAGATCGGTTTGGACCACCATCTAACGACTTTAGCCTGTCACGCGAGGCCAACTGATCTGTGTTTATAAGCGAATACGTTGTGTCTAGACCACTATAGGTAAGACGTTTACTATCAAACGATCTAGAGGAAATACGTATATTTGCCGATCTCTATGAGTTCTAGACAGCCAACTGTCTTCACTAATTCATTAGGAGAGCCTTTTGTTATCGGATTTCGGACCTGCAAGACCACTCATTGTTCCATTGTCGAGCCAGTGAATCTCAACCGCGCACGTGTCCATACTGATCTTTTTATTGAGGAGAAACAGTCTCCACCAAGAAATGAACATGTCGACAGACAAAACCCAACACATAACCGGTCAGTGCTATCTCAAAGGTACGGAGCTTGAAATTCCAAAACCCACTATCTCAGCACCTATCTCAAACTGAGCATCAGGAAACATCGAAATGCTGGAACAATCGACCAGTCATACGGGGAGTTACAATTGCCGGAACCATCTAACCATTTGCCAAAAAACACACATGCATTCCTCCTCCCAAGACACAGCCAGTTGTTTGCTGTCAGCTTTAGAAGGCGCCATTTTCTTCCTCCAGCAGTTGTTTCAGCCACTCGGGGTCGCTTTCCAAAGGCTCCAAAGTACTGGCGCTTGGGCAGTTGTTGAATAAAGCGTCGAAGTTGGCACCAGCCAGTTGCGCCTCCATACCATCCCAGTCCATCTCATCCTGACCCGACAATGGGGTTTCGGCACTTGCTTCATTAGGCACAGCAAACGGGGCATTGTTGTAATGCTGTGGCATCACTTCGGGACCGTTATTTGACAGTTGACCGACCGGTTGTTGCAACAGCCATTCATGTTGTTGGTTGAATCCCGCATACCCGTTATTGCTGTATCCGATCGCGGGGCTTTCGACCTTGACCCGTTTTTGGACGGCATATTTGGGCGAGGAATCTTTTGCGGAGCGCTTCGATGTTGCATGAACAGGGGTGGTAGCGTTTCCTTGCAGAACTGCCGTGGCGTTGATTGTCCGCTGTACAAGCCCCCTTGCCTTTTTATCGGTACCCAGAAGACCATCGAGGCCGATCATAATCTCACAAAGCTTCGACGATATGGCTTCCTGTTGCAACCGGACAGCATCGATAGCATGGTTTCTGGCGAAGTTCAGTACCTCGGGGGAAATCGCATGGCCTGACCTGCCAGTTGCGGCGGTCGAGCCGTTGGGATATACTATGGGAGTCATAGCCGCCTCGATCTTGTTGTTGATAAGCTCGACAAATGCTGGACACGAGCCGACATAATCATAGTCAAACAAGGTCTGAAGCTCAGCAGTGACTGGAAACTGAACCATCTGGAGCACCAGTGCATTGCGCTGCGCAAGAGGTAGGTTGCCATGATCGGCATCGTGATCGATGATGAAATCCGCATACTCGCACTGATGGGTGAAGTGGTCCTCCATTTCCGCCATGAACTCTCCAAGTGTCTCAAGTGAGTCCCAAAGCAGCGGTTCTTGTTGACTCTCACCAGCGTCGGCAGGTTGTGTTGCTCGGCGCGCATTGTTCTTGTTTCGATGTTTGAACGTCCTCACTGCCGAAGCGTATGGATTGTTGAATTTGCCCTGCAGCTTGGATGCGCCGTATCGGTCGGTACCGTCCATCATGCAACCGCGCATCTTGGGCGCAAGACACAGCTGTTCAACCTGTTCGGCGGTCATGGTTCTCAAGCGTGCGTCAAGTCGCTTGAACAGGAAGTTAGCTCTGTTGTTGAACGTCTTGCACGTGGCAATGCGTTGCTCTCGGAACTCCTGGATGGCCTGCGGTGTAAGGAGACTGTATATGTCGTTAGCCGTCCAGCGCCATTGGATGAATGCGTCCAGGTATTCACCGCGAAGGTGGTTGGGGTACTTCACGCAAATCTCCTCGAGTGTTGCCGAGTCCGGGATCGGTTCTTCAAAAAGTGGGAAGGATGGTAGTTCGTTGTACACTTTGGGCTGATGGCTGCGTCCCTGCCGAAGCCCTTCTCGGAAGCGACCGAATGCGTTGGACGGCGGCGGCTGCTCTTGTGAGACTGGAGCGTATGGTGTCAGTGCTTGGCCATACTGTTGCTGTTGTTGGTCGTTGCTGTTGTTGAACGCTGCCACTGCATCAAGCGACGATGGATCTATGATGGGTGACGGGAGCTCCACGTACGAGTACTCCGGCAGTGATGGGTAAGTGCTCGACCCCTCGTCCATTTTGCTTGCTGCTTCCTGGATCTTCAGAATCTGGGTGCAGTCCCAGGTACGGTCCCTTCAGTTGCAACGGTACTACAGTCTTGCTTTTGGTAAGTGGAAGTCTCTATTCCTTTTCCAAAGTACAGGGCAAGAGAGCAAGTCCAGCTTGCGCGTAGCTTAGGAAAGGAATAGGAAAAGCAGGAGTGGAGGAGCGTAGATGGGTGTTTGGAGCATACTGTCTACTGTCTACGAAACGAATCTGCCTTTTTATGAAGAGGCGGCCTCCTGCCTTGCAAGTTGCAATCACATTACTACCCATCGAGGCAGTAAGCCATGTCTCATATCTGCTTGTTCGTCTCGGTCAGTTCGATACTGCCTCGTGAAAGAGCCGCCCGCTGCCTCATACTCTGCGGACAAAGAGGATTGTACTCGAACTCGAGGCTATGTGTTGAGGCAGTGGTACTTCGGTTGCTGGGAGTCGGTGCTCATACTGGAGCTCAATCGCAGTCTCGAGACATGCCCTTCGACCTTCGGCCGCGAATACTGATTTCCACCACCATATTTGAGGGCTACTGACACTGACAGGCCGCTGGCATGACCATGTGAGTGGCGTCGCGCATCCCAAACATACCCGACCTCGTGTCTCGCATTATACTCATATCTCACTAGTCGATATATGCGCAAAGATCTCAGGCTCGGTTTCGAACAATGACAATGGCATGCATAAAGGAGGAACAAAGAACAACTTGTCGGTTAGTTTCAACAATGGTCAAGATGCCAAAAGGGTGAAACACAAAGAAATTGGTATGGTCATATCACAGAATGTATCGTCTCGAACAATGGCTTGGTGCTTCGTCCGCTTGTGCAATCGAGTTCAAGGTCCCAACTTCCAAGGTCTACTGACTCGTGGAACCGTAGGCATCTACTTATCCGCTTCTCTACCTGCATGATAATGAGCCCGGCAATTGCAGAAGAGTCTCAAGTAGTTGCAGCGTTGTAGCACGAAGCGCAGGCTCGTATAGGTACTTAGGAACCGAACTGCTTACATGGCCGCAAGCTGCGCTTGCATGTACTGCTGCAAACCCCGAGCAACGATTGCACCCGATTGCTGGATGTCATTCAGTTCCCCAATGTAACAAAACCATGGCACATCATTACAGTGCACGGTCTACGGTACTTAACAAGAGGTACATGCTACGGTGCGATGTCGTTGCGAGGGTGGTTTGATGATGAAGTGTTCCCCAAATATTCTTGATGTTGAACAATTTATGTGGAGGAAATTTAGGTACAGGAAAATAAGGGGTCACAGCCTCGCCAAGACCTCATACAAACTGGTGCTGGCAATTGGTGACACGCACGGCGAAGTCCAGAGACTGGACTTGTAAGATCCACCGGGTTGCAAGATGCGATTGTGAGCCCAAGAGATATATCCGCTTGGTTTTTAATCCTGGGAAGTGCATCAGCGTCGCCCCCTTAAGCTCTGCGAAAGCAAGGACGCGAGATTAATTTGGCTTCACGGATGTGCAGTGCAGATCGAAGACGGTTTCTGAGAACAGTCCGGCTGGCGCTTTAGCCCCTACCTGGTATGAAGCAGCTAGGAGGAATCGTCAACTCGGTTCTTCCTCGAAAAATTGCTTTGCCATTCCACACCCGCAGTTCAAAACAACACCGTGGAAGCGGAGAATCAAAGAAACCACGGCCGGCGCGCATAAAAGCCTCGAACATTAGAAGTCCGCGGAAGTAATAACTGCTATTACCTGCTTGGAGTGAATCCTTCGTAAGCACTGCAGAGTATGGGCGACGAACAAGTAGGCGGAATGTGTAGACACATAGATGCAACTCAGCATCATGCAGGGCAGCCAGAATAGAAATGCCCGCTTGTGTGCCCCAGGAGCTTCAGCTTGATCACAACACCAGTATAGTGACAAAAGATGTAGGTTCCATATAGGTACTTAGCTTTAGGCAGACCTTTATCTGTCTACCGCCCTCGGTTTCAACACATATATTACACACCCGCAGAATTATCCTCAACAATCGCCACTTCACCACCATCGGGTCTTATGGCCTAGGTGGGTAGGGGATTTGGGATTGGTGCCTAGTTCGAGTCAACAACTAGGTCGGCTATAAAATACTCTCAACCATAATTGTTCGGTCAAAAAACCCTGATGGCATAAAACACCGGGGGTTTTCAGTCACTCATACACCTCTATACGACTGGGCTTGTGAGACCTGTTTTTTTGGGCCTTGTGCAACTCCGTCAAACTGAACAAGATGGGCCAATAACCCTTTACTTGACGCTCTGCTCCTCCATATGCTATGATTTCTGTTCCATGAATGGCGGGT